TTGATTGCACAAGAATCAAATCATTAAAATAATATATGCAAAACAAACATAAAAAATATCTTTGATATTTGCGTTGTGGTAATAACTACAAAAAAAATTGTGAAGGAGTAAATTTTTTTAGATTGATTTTCATTGTCATATTTTAAGTTTCTAATTTCAGTACAGTAACTCAGTAGAATCACGTTAATAAATCTTAAATCGGGTTACCCTTTATATAACCCTTTATATAAAGTTATACTAAACTCTTAATAATTTGTTAAAGTTGCTGGTTTCGAAAGTTGTGGTAGTGATTTAAACAGAGCATACTTTCGACTAATCGACTTATTGTATTGAAAAGTCTAAAAGCCAAAGTCATCTTTTGATCAGAAATACGAATCAAAATGTCTAAAAACCGACTTTTTGATAAGAGGCAAAAATCGAAAAGTATTACTCCAAAGTATTTTGAACTATGCCCTTCCGTAACAAAACTAATTGTTTGACGTTTAGAACACTATATAAAAACTATAGTTTGTTTACATTCGAAAACCACTGGATAACGAGAGAGATTTGGAATAAAAAGAAAATACATTCGAAGACTTCAAAATAATTCAGCTATGCCGAAATGTCAAATCGGACAAAATTAAACTATTCCCTGTTAATGAAAATTTTTATATTGAACCAACATTTTAATATCGTCCCAATCCGACAAACTTTGGGAGTTTGGTGCATCATTAACATAAAATCGGACGAAAATATATATTGGAGCTATATCTAAATCTGAAGCGATTCCAATTTTACTTTATTTAGTACTCTGTGCACAATTTTGTCTATCAGAATCACCATGGGAGTTTGGTGCACCAATTACATAAAATCCTAATTTCGACCTTCGCCCAAACAAGTGACCTGTACCAAATTTCATCCAAAGCACAAATCGACTCAGAATGTGATTCCCAGCTCGGTCCCGGCTCCTTTTGCCTGTTACAAACATATGTATGCACAAACACGCAATACTCTGTACCACAGATTGGCGAAGGGTATAAAAATCGAAATCTGTATGTTGTTACAAATATTGACCTTTTTGGAAAATTTATTTTCTTTACCATGATCATGGAAGGCCAAATTATTGCCTTTTCGTTTAAATAATGCGGATTATAACTTTAAAATACAAAATTAATCTTTATATGGGGCTATGTCAAAACATGGACCTATAGGGATAATTTTCTGCAATTTTCAAATATATACCAACCTCCAAGTCCCCAAAATGCCTATTTAAATACTTTGAAGTTAAAAAATGGGGGTACGCGTTTGAGTGTGGCCTTATATATAAGCCTCCAAACCCCCTTAAATTTTCCTAAATGTATCGTTATATGGGAGCTGTAAAAGCAATTTGCAATACCAAACATCCTAGGAATAATATCAATGTCAGTGAAAAACTTTTAAGCTCTATATTTAATATCGTCATTTCAAGAGACATACATTAGGACGTATATGGGTAAACTGACACTTTACTTTAGGAAAAACTATTCGGTGAATCTATCAACCTATTCAATGAAGTACCTATATTTATACATTTTCTCCCAGAAACCCCATTTCCAAACTGAGATAATTTAACATTAAAATAACGGACATCGGCAAAAACAGGGGGTAGTATTAATATAAAATTACCTAAAATGTAGTAGGAGAGACTGGGGCAGCTTCGGCATCACTAGCTGTGATACATAGGTATCGAATATGAAAATAAATAACTGTCGCAAAGTTTGAAATCTCTAGCTTATTTAGATGCACGGGTTTTTATTAAAAATACAATTTTTAGAAGATTGATTGGAAAAAAAGTACCTTTGACTTAGATTTTGTAAAGTGCTATATATTAAAATATTTTTGAAGTTGTCTTTAAAAATAATCCTTTAATATGGTTCGAAATTGCATACATAAGACCAAAAGTCTTTCTATTGACAAAAATGCGATAGAAACCAGTAAAGAAAGTACTAAAGTCGGATTGGGCCGACTATATGATTCCAACTTTGGGTATATTCTACATATCGAGCCATATTCGCCAAAAAATCGTAACCCTCAAATTTATAAATTCAATAAATAAATTCAGATTTAATAAAGCTATTATTTTGAAATTTAGAATTATAATTTTGTTTTACATGCAATACTTAGTTTAAGCAAATTTGAGTCGATTTTTGGAATATAACGATTGCTTTCTGAGGGTTACGTTTTTTTTCGCTGTCTGGCTGGCAAAGGGTAAACAAAATGTATTTCAATAAAATGAATTTCTGTTACTGTTTTATTTAATTATCAACATTTTCGTTAAATTAAATTAGATATTCTTTAAAAAAAATTCGAACATTAGAAATAACATGAAATAAAATAAAGTAATTCATATTAAATATTTGTTAATTTAAATAAAATTTCGAAGCCTTTAGTGTTCTAAATATGATTCTTCTTATCGGTTTCAGGTTTTTGAATCTTCGATCTTTTTATACCATAAGGTGGAGTGTATATTAAATTTATCATTTCGTTTGCAAAACTTCGAAATAATCTTGACATTTTTGATCAGAATAAAAATCTATGTCGATTTGTTTACTTCCGCCAGTCTGTTGAATTACAGTAGAGACCGCAATATTTAAATAAAGCTTTAAAATTGTGCACATATATACGTTGCTATTACTCCTAGGATGTTTGCTATTGTAAAAATCGGTCCACGTTTTGGAATAGTCCCCCATATAACGGCACCACCAAATAATCGGTATTTTGGGAATTTTTTGTATTTATTTTAAACGGAATTGATTGTATTTTAGTACATCGATATGGGTCCATTTTTTAGGGGCTATCCTAAAAATATGAAAGCATTCCCCATTATTCGGCATTTTGGGGACTTTGGGCACGTTTTTCAATAAAATTTGTTATAATTTATATGTTGAGTTTTAATTGGGTGATGCATCTTCCTAATATAACTAATCAATATTGGTTAACAGTTTATCAAAGCCTCCATATAACGGTGCCCCCAATTATTCGGTGTTTTGGGGATTTATGTGACGTTTTTCAACCAAATTAGTATTTTGAACTTCATTTGGTAACAAATCTTCCTACCACATATTATCAATATTTGCCCTTCTCATTTTTTTATTTTGGGGAGAGAGGGAGAGTATTGTGAATTGAAATTATATAACAAATCTTTTCGATCGTTCCCAACGCCACTCTTACCCGCCTCTCCGACCGAGGGTTCCACCTCCCCATGTAGGGAAACACAGGCTACAGCAAAACATCAGCCGGTTAATAAATTAAGTTACTTAAACTAACTACATTAAGGACAGGGGCTAATTTGTCTGGCAACTACTTGTCATCTATAGCTCTATATGTAGAATAGCATTTTTATATGTCTTTGTGCATATGTTTGTAACAGGCAAAGGGAAAAGAGATAGACACGTGGTTCCTTTTGAGAATATGCATAGAATCACTTTCTGAGTCGATTTATGCATGTCCGTCCGTCCGTCTGTACATGTTAAATTGTAAACAAAGTACAGGTCGCATTTATGATCCGATTTGGATGAAATTTGGCACAAGTCACTTATTTGGCCCAAGTCCGACTTTACTACTTTCCTTACTGGTTAATAATAATCTTCGAGCCAAGAATTTAAAATATTGGCAATTTTTTTGGATAGCCTCATATAACTTTGAAGATTATGAGCCCGTTTTTTAAACGAATGTTCTCTCATTCTCTCATAGCGTGTTTATTTTAATGTTTCATTTATTTTTAAAATCACATATATAGAGAAAATAAGTACGAATTTCTAATATATTACTAAAATAATAGCGTGTTTATTTTAATGTTTCATTTATTTTTTAAAAGAGAAAATAAACGTAACTCACACGTGCGTTTATCAAAAATGTAAACATATTGACCATATGTGTTTGCGATAAAATTGTTTTTGTTATAAAATTATAACGGTAAAATCTACAGCCACCAAATTTTTAGATATGATGTATATTATCTTTCTTGCCTTGGCGAATAGTGATTTATTCTCCGCACTAAAAATTTTAGTTTAATATAAATCTATCAAACTGCGATTACGCTTGAATATTTTAAATAAAAATAATCCTTCAAATACTCTTCAATTTTGTAGAAAAAAAAACATTACATTGCTTTTAGGAAATAATTTCACTCTTTTGACAAATTTAAACATCAAACATTTAATATTAGAATAAAATCTATGCTAAACAATGCATTTTATACACAAACAAATTGTTTCCCTTTTCCATTTACTTATTTCCTTTCCTCAATGATTATCCAAACTATTGTAAATCTCTCATCAATACCTTTTTAATTACTCGAGAAATAAGCAAATTGGTAAATTTTTTCTGTTCCAAAGCGAAGCTAACACCACTTTAGTTGATGCTCGACATTATTATTGAAATTATTATTGTGGAAACCATTGGTAACTCTGTTATTACAAAAGACCGCTTCAGTTCGCTTCTATGTAAGAATATCCATTGTCGCAATTAATACAAATAATTAAAATAATATTAATGAGTTGATTCTCTTTCACAACTATTCTTATTCTTCTCTTCCACATCTATCCGTCTATCTACTTTTCTATTTCGATTGCACCCAAAACGACATACATACATACGTACTGTTGCAATGTTAATTTACTTTTCTTTGGACAAACGACTCCCTAATCACTTTCCCGTTCGTGCGACATGCCTACAACAACAAACAGAAAGCATTTTCAAAGAATCCTTTTGTGACCACGACGACTTTGATGACGTTTTTTACAAGCGCATGGCCACCCCACTGAGAATGAGGATGAACAAAACCACCGCCACATCTCCAGCTGGTGGGGGCGGTGGTCGCATCGGTGCTGCTAATGTTAGTATTCGCGGTACAGCTGGTTTCCTGGGGGTCAATGATAGTGTTCGTCGTCGACGACGACATAGTCTTTATACGTTAAATGATAACAGCGACAATGTTTTGCTTAGAGATGTGTCATCCAGTTCTGATTCACTCTTTACAGACCCACCATTATCGCCCAACAGTACCAGTGTTGTAACGGCGCCGCTTGCTGACTCCCCCGGCGATTTATGTCCCACTTCCACTAATACCGATAATGAGGATGAATTCCTGGACCACGATGACGATGTAGATAGCTCGGCAACGGCAACATCGACAACTACCAAAAAGACAAATAAAAATCTGACGCACAATAAATCGCCATCATCGTACACGGCAGTCCAATTCCCGCCAACCACCACCACCCTAGAACAGCATCTCCTGGCAGCAGCAAATGCAACGCCAGCGAACAAACAGCGACCCCTCAGTGAAATAAGCATCGCTTCGGGCGATACCTCGGGAATTCTTTCGCCAACAACTGCTCGGGCCATATACGAATTACGTAAGCGCCACCAAGCGGACAAGTTATCGCTGCTGTCCGTGGCCAAAATAAGCTATTTGGAAATTGTGCCAACCGAATTGCCCACAGAATCCAGTCCGGAGAGTACCGATGAACAAATGGCCATGCACTTGGGCAAAAAGCTGGCACAGGTATTGAGTGGCAATACAGCTGGTGCTGGAGGTGTCGCCAATGCTGGTGTTGGGACAGGCGTTAATACCAATAGTGCTGGCACTCCTGGTTCGCCACTGCCTGATAATGGAAATTATTTCATTGCTGCAACAACGCCAACAACCCCCGCCACCAATGAACTGTTTAACATTGCCAAAGCAAAGAAGATTGAATTGCCAAGTTTATCGTCACGTTTAGTAGCGAGTGCAGCAGCGCCATCATTGGATAGTCATGCATTGCATTCAACAGGTGAGTACAGCAATTTGCAAACAGTTTTACACATTTCCATTCCGTTATTTTGAAAATTTGGTATAATTTAAAATGTAATTTCTTGCAATTGTAATTTCTTAATTCGGTGAGGTATAATGTACCATTATTTGATTTTGATCTTGAATCAAAACATTTACTTCTTCAGATAATTATCGTGTACATACAAACTTACCTTTATTTGAATTTTAATGAAAGGTCATCTTTTTCGTTTTTATTTAACTCCAATACTTTGATATTATTTATAGAGAAGACTATTCATTGTAGAGTAAAAAACCTAATACCTGACTTGTAACAGAACATTTTTTCCATAAGCCGAGCTTAAAAATATTTCGAGGTGCGTCGGTGTTGTGCGCAGCTCTTCCAATATGAAAGACCATGTTCCGAAATGTTGTCTTCCACTTGATTTTTACATCTTTTTTTTTTTACATTTCATCCTTCTACATAGATCCTTCGGAGAATTTTTCACTCAAACACTCAGCGTCTTGTAGAGTGTGAGTTTAGTCTGATGAGAGGTTCCCTTGTTTCTAAATTGATTACTTAGACAATAGTAGCATCTGTTGGCCCACACGATCCTTCTCCGAATTTCAAAAATGATGCCATTAGTTTTATTTATGACGGTACCGAGGTATATAAAATCTTTTACTGCTTCGAAGCTGTAGTTTTCAAGTTCCACAGTTGGTTCGAGTCCACTGGACGTCTTGCGCTTGGTCTTTTCGCCACTTACTGCCAGACCCACATTGGCAGACTCCTTCTCAATTTCTTCAAACGTGGGATTTGCTAGGCCTGAAGTCGGATTGTTATCGGCCGATAATCACATTGACCATTGGCTTCAGTCGTTCACACAGTACGCTGGTTAGCATTTTATATGCCATGGGAAGGAAACTAATTCCTCTATAGTTGGCACATATCATCTTGTCTCCTTTTTTGTGCACGGGACACAGAGTGCTGAGGTCCAATCATTGGGCATGTATATTCCTCTAGCCAAATTGTACTAATCAGCTGATTCATGCTCCCAACCAGCATCTGACCACCAGTCTTGAATAGTTCGGCTGGTAACCCATCGGCATCTGCTGCTTCATTATTCTTCAGCCGATTGATTGCTATTCCGACCTCATCTTGGACTCTATACCGTCATCTCTTATTGGTTCTTGGGTATTGTATTCACCGTTACTATTTGATACCAGAAGCTTTGCAAAATGCTCCTGCCAGATCCTAAACACGCTGTTTCTATCTGTCACCAGGTTTCCATGTTCATCTCTACAGAAGGATGTGCCTGCACCAAAGCCTTCGGTTTGGCGTTTTACATGTTGGTAAAATTTCTGGACTTTATTCTGCCTCCTGTACATCTCGATTTGCTCACGCTCACGTTTTTTTGTTGTTCTTCTTTTTTCTGAAAATACGTTTCTCCTCTGTCCTTTTTCATCATAATTCTCCATCGCATTACGTGTTGCAACTGTCTGCAGGGTTGCCCTATACGCTGCGTTTTACACATCAGTAGCATTACGACACTCCTGATCGTACCGCGGGTTTCTTGATGGTGGTCTTTAGTACCCAATTGCAACTGCAGTTTGTAGGGAGTGGGCAATTCTCTTCCATTGTGCTTCTATATTATCGGGATAAAGAGTGCTTTCGTCAAGCAAGTCGGTAAGTTGAGCGGAGTATGCTTCTGCTATCTGTCCTGTTTGCAACTTTTCGACATCGAGTTAAGGTGTTGTGTTAGATCGCACCTTTGCTGCTACATTAAGACGACTGCAAGAACCTTGCCTGCTAAAAGGTTGTGGTCCGAATCGAAATTCGCTTCTCGGATCGATGGAACGTCTAAAACACTGGACCGATCGTCATATCTCGACTAGCTAAGTCAATCTAGACATGTGTGTCCGTCCGTCCGTCTGTCCATTATAATTTGTAAACACGATATAGGCCACATTTATGGACCAATCTTCACGAAATTTTGCATGTAGGATGCGTTCTGGCCAACGAAGACCCCAATAGGGACCAAATACTTAATTTTTGTCGGTTTTTCTCGCAAAATTTTACATGGAGATAAGGATCGGGCCAAAGGATAAGCATGACTGTTTTGATAAAGATCGGTCATTATTCAGCGGGTCAAATGGACCCTGACTTTTATGTGAAAGATTACAAAATTAAATGCATGAATGAATTAAAATACATTCTTTTCGTTTTGTGCTCATTTTACGAATGAATTTATGGCGATAAATTCTTTACCAAACGAGCATTCGCTAAAGAATGTTCGCACAAACATAACAAACGAGTGAGAACACACAACAAAGATCGTTCGTTTCGTTTGGTGGTTGAAATTTTTTCTGACATCCTCTCACGAATGAAAACAAACATTCCCGAATTCTCGTGAATGCTCAAAACAGCAACAACTATAACGACAATCGTTCGTGAACTGAATGGTTGTTGGGCATTTGTTGTGTTATTACACACACATTCATTCGTTTTGTGTGTTTACTTTTTATGCCCTTCACCACACCACATATCATATAGTCGGTCCCGTCCGACTTTACTACTTTCCTTACTGGTTTACTATATGTTTGTGGTTATTTTTAACTGTGCTCGCGAGCATTCGCGAACATTTGTTTTTTTGAATTTTTCAAAAGAATGTTCTTCAGCAAAGAATGCTCGCGAATGAATGCATCGACGACGCTTGCAGCGAATTTTTCGTACAATGCGAACATTCGCGAGAAATTGCATATGTTTCTTCATTCATTGTAATATTATCATTCGCGATAAATTGAAAAACATTCGAATTCTCGCCGTGAGCATTCGTGAGAAAGAGTGTATTTTAATCATGAAATCATGTAATTTGATCATGTTCCGTGAGGTTCCAGTTATGGTCAAGGACAACGCCTATAATTTTCGGTGATGATCAGATATTAATATTTTTTTTTTTTCGAGTCAATCTATAGGCCACAATTGGTGAAGGGAATATGGACAAGTAAATAGAAGGGCTGTACTGAATATTGGTAATATTTGTTGACCTCAGAATGTAGAAAGTTAGATTTTCGTGGAAGTTGGTCGGCCACGTCCGACTATACTATACGAGCATGGGCACAAATAAGACTGATGTAGAAAAACTTCGCTTTTAAACCGATTATAGCAATTCGCTCATCTATTGGAGTGATCTGGAGACGGGGTATTTTATTCTCCTATGTGTGATATTTGTTATGCATTTTTTTCTTCACAATGTTGAAAGTTTTGAAAAAATGTGAATTCAGAATTAATTACATTCAATGCACATTTCTCAACTGATATTTAAAAGATTTGAGCCAAATACCCAACTTCATTCAGATTTGTTTTCATTTAATTCCTTTCTTTTTTGAAATATCAAAAATAGTTAACAGTATGTATATAACATTATTCATTTAAGGAGATTGAAATTGATGTTAGCATGGATTGCATACTGAACAAGGATATCTAGAATTTGACCTACGCACGCATTCATACACACACACTCACCATAACATTTAAAAATCAGAATCATTAGTAAAACGACTATAATCAACATTTAAAAATCTCAACCGAAAAGAAAACTTTATTTAATTTTGATGTAATTTACCTGAGGTTTCATTTAGCAAACATATTTATCCATGTTCTGTTCCGACATCCTTCTGTTTTTATCCTTGCATCCATCCATCCATCTTCTTCTTCGTCTTTTTTGCTTTGCGAATCTGGTTTTGGCCAGATGCCTCAGGCATCATCCGAATATCATCAGTAAATGAATGAATAGCTCAGCTTTTATGTTTCTCCGTAGACCTCACAGCTGCAGAAGGTTGCAATTGCTGCACCCATTTTCCTATTTTTGGTTAGGTTGTGCCTGCTTCTTCTTCTTCTTGCTCGTGACTCCAATGTTTGCAGTTGAATGCAAATATTTTTCGTTTGCAGGGTGTAGGTAAAAGAAGAGTATCTCAATCTGCCATTTGAGTAAAATACTTTGGCACTCCATGGAAAGAAGTGTCAGTGTGAGGCAGCAACAAACGTAAGAGAAGTCCTTGAATGAAGACTAGATCTGGAGGAGTCGTAGACAGGGGGGATATTTTGGTAGTATTCACAGGTTTGTTAATTTAGCAATTTTCTTTTCAAATGGCTTTCTAGTCACTACAATCGAAAAGTGAGACAAACAAAAAAGAAAAGAAAAATACAACAACAAATAGTAAGATCTAGAAGAAAAAAGAAACAAAGACTCGACGCACAGAGGGACAGACAGCAGCCACACACACAGATTGAATACAAAGATATGTACGAAAATGGAATTGAATGAAAAGCTTTTCGGTTCTTAGCTGTGCATACCAAGAGGTAATTAACCTTTGTGGCCAATTCAGCAATCACCAGCAAAGCATCAGCATCCACATCGACATCATCATCGGAATCGGCATCGTCATTAGCATCTGCATGTCTCTGCCTGTAATAGCATTAGAGAACCTTTATCGACTGCATCAGTGCGTCTCTAAGTCACCGATTTGGACTTTTTCATGATGACGTTGATGAGGACCAGGAGGAGGACCAGGCGGAGGTTGAATACAAAGTACGAAACATTTTCATTATTGACACATTTAAATTTAAATGAACACCCACAAAATACTCGAAAACGAAATTCAATTCACTCAGTACTCCGGCATACTGCATCCAAAAATTCTAGTCTTTCTCGTAAGGAAAGCACAGCCAGCCAGTCCGTCTGTCTGTGCGTTTGTTTGCCTCGAACAACAACAGCAAAAAAACGAGTCTTAACAAAACGGACATCGGTAGGGTAAAGAGTTCTTCACAGAGTGCATTTCCAAAAAAAGAAAGAAAAAAAAAACAAAAATGCTTTAGTCCTTTGAGCCGATACACTCGTCTGGATTTTTTCTCTGTGCGTGTATGTGTTGATGTGTGCATGTGTACACTTATTAGGCCTACAAACACATGAGAGTGAGTGTGTGTGTGCGTTTAAATGTTGTTTATATTGTTTTCTAGTG